GTGCCGTGGTGTCACGGCTCACAGCAACCTCAAACTCTTGGGCTTAAGCGATTCTCTTGCCTCAGCCTCCCAAGTAGCTGGGACTACAGGTGTCTTCGATGTATGTGGCTGGTGCCGTAAGCACTGTGCTACAGTCGCCGAGCCTCTTTTATTTTTATTTTTAAAGGATGGAAGGGGTCAGACTCAGTGACTCACGCCTGTGATTCAGCCTGTAATCCTAGCACTCTGGGAGGCCAAGGTAGGCAGACTGCTTAAGCTCAGCAGTTCAAGACCAACCTGAGCAAGAATGACCCTGTCTCCACTAAAAAATAAAAAAACTGACGCAAGAGGATAACTTGAGCCCAAAAGTTTGAGGTTGCTATGAGCTATGATGATGCCATGGCCCTCTACCCAGGGTGACAGAGTGACTCTGTGGGTGGATTGCCTGAGCTCAGGGGTTAGAGATCAGCCTGAGCCAGAGAGAGACACTATCTCTAAGAAACACCCAGGTGTTGTGGTGGGCACCTGTAGTCCCAGCTACTGGGGAGGCTGAGGCAAGAGAATTACTTGAACTCCAGAGTCCGAGGTTGCGGTGAGCTGTAACACTATGGCACTCTACCGAGGGTGACAAAGTGCAACTATCTCAAAAATAAATAAATAAATAAAATGGAAGGGAGGAAGAGAGAGAAAGAAGCTATTCTACATATTGTCTACAATAAAGTTTTCAAACTAGGAATATACGTGAATATGCTTATATGCTGTCAGAGACTTGAAAAAACATTAATAGAAGGATAAACGTTTCGTGCTGAAATAAGACACACACCTCGATCATTCTGGGACACAAATGTTGCTTTTCTAAACCTCTGAGAAATGTATGTGAAAGGTAAAAATTGTTTGAAATGCACTGGAGGAAAAAAAAAAAAGACAAGAAAATACCTCTTCAAGACTCCTACTGGGACAGAAGGTGATTCTTTTCCTGGCATAGTCTTCTATTGATCTGGAAATTGCTTCTAGCCATTCATCTCTTTCTGTGGCAGAACTGTTGGGGGCAGAAGAAGGTTCCATCAACCAGATGTCAGTGTTTATTCTTTTTTTCTTACTTCTTTTCCTGTACCCATGACAACAGACCTCACCAACCTTCCAACAATACCAGTCAAAAGAAGCAACGCTGCAGTTTTATACAAACAAATAATCAGAGTAGGCAATAGAGAATCCATGGAATTTCAGCAAATACAATGTTTTTTTTTTTTTCTTTCCAAAAGTTCCACTTTACGTTAAATAGCTTTTGAAGTCTCCTACGTTTGGAATTATTTTTGTTTAAGGGCCAGTCTTACAGTTAATAATTATTATTATTTACATAACCAAGGACTTTCCTAAGAGATACTCCTAGAATTCAAAAATCTTCCAAGAAATAAAGTTTCAAATGCTGATTTTTAGCATAAAATACTAAATATCTTTAGACTATTAAACTTACTAAAAACACCTAGGAGGGAAAGTGGGGTAAAGAGAACATATTTCTAGTAACCTTAGAGATGTTGTAACAGTGGTTAAGAGGGAAATAGCTACCAGGGCTCCTCTCCCTATGTAGAGGTAGTCACTGGGAGGTATTCTTAATTCAACGCTAGGCGGGAATGGGTTGCACAGGGGAAAAACCATTCAGAAAAGGGCATTTTTGTTCTGTATTTTTATAATCATGCCTCTCCCCCAAAACTCTGTAGTAACTTCCAAGTCATCATGACTTCAAGCATATTTCTGAAGCTATTGTTTAAATTTTGTTTTGCATATTCAAAACAGAGGGGTGCACTGTAGGGCTTATAAATATAATATATAAATCTATACATATACACGGGCCACTATGACAGTTCTGAGACAGCCTGTGTTATGCTCCGCTATTTCACTTCCACAACACAAAGCTGACAGTGTCCTTTCTGATTCCCCGTGCAAGTTTCACCTTGCTTGGCTTGCCTTTCTGGGGTTGCTGGGAGGGCTTCCTTTGTTTCCCTCTGTGTGGACTTGACATTTCTTGACTTTTATGTATCTCAAAACTTTCATAATGGCCCACAGACAGGTAGAGAGAACAAGAAAAGGGAAGGGAGAGAATAAGAGATTTTTTCTTTTTTTTGGCCGGGGCTGGGTTTGAACCCGCTCCCTCTGGCATATGGGGCCAGTGGCCTACTCCTTTGAACTACAGGCACTGCCCTTTTTTTCTTTCTTTTCTTTTTTTTTTTTTGAGAATAAGAGATTTTAATAGTGAATTTAAAAGTCTATCATAATAAAGTAAAATCAGTTATAATAGTATTGTGACTGTAAAAAAAAGTCAGCATTTTTTAGAAAAGCATACTGAAGTATGTAGGAATAAAATGACCTGACATCTACAATTTGTTTTAAAATTTATTGTTTAAATTTTGTTTTGCATATTCAAAACAGTTAAAAAGGGCGGTGCCTGTGGCTCAAAGGAGTAGGCCCCATAGGCCGGAGGTAGTGGTTTCAAACCCAGACCGGCCAAAAACTGAAAAAATAAATAAATAAATAAAAAGGTTAAAAAACAGGATAATTGGTAGTACAATGTTGATTTTTGAGACTGGGTGACTGTGTAGTTTATTGTATCAGATACTCTAATTTTAAGTCTATTAGAACTTTTAAACATTTCTAAAATAAAAATTAAAAAATCCATCATAAATAATAATATAGATGGGCAGTATGTTGCTATATTTTAAAGAAGCCATGGCATATGTTAAAATGATACGAGGGGAAAAAAAAGAAGAAACCACTTGCCTTCCCCACAAGAGTCATTCTCTGGAATGTACCTCCCTACTAAATAGTTTGAGTGGCATTTAGAATATTCATTCTTGGCTTGGCGCCTGTGGCTCAAGTGGCTAAGCTGAGCTGGCAGGTTTGAATCCAGCCTGGGCCTGCCAAACAACAATGATGGCTGCAACCAAAAAAAGCCAGGCGTTGTGGTAGGCACCTGACTTGGGAAGCAGAGGCAGGAGACTCACTTGAGCCCAGAAGTTGGAGGTTGCTGTGAGCTGTGATGCCACAGCACAGCACTCTACCCAGGGTGACAGCTTGAGGCTCTGTCTCCAAAAAAAAAAAAGTTCGAAATTGGGGTGGTGCCTGTGGCTCAAAGGAGTAGGGCACCAGCCCCACATGCCGGAGTGGCAGGTTCAAACCCAGCCCCGGCCAAAAAAATTGCATTTAAAAAATAAAAAAAAAAGGGAAAGGCAGAAATCCAGTTTCCAAATAAAATTTAAAACCTAATGTATTTCTCAAACTTTCATTGGATACAAAGAACAAAATAAAAAAGAAATGACCTCTTCCTTGCTAAACCAAACAGAACCAGCTGTTATCTCTATTACCCTGCGGTACTGCCATAACTAGCTACCATTTAATGGCTACTTAATGTCAGGCAACTGTCCCAAATACACTGCAAATGTCATTGTGTCTCATCCTCAGAGCTCTCCCATGGAATATATACTGGAACTTACACGCCCCCACAATCTCATCACCCACCTACACTGTTTACAAATAAGGAAACTGAGGAGGGTTAGCTGTGTAAGGTAATTCGCTTTGTAGACAACAGGCCGCTGAGTGATGAGCGGGCATCAGACCCAGGTGTAGTTAAGGATTGGACCCTCCACCTGAGGTCACTGCCAGCCTCTGCTCGTGTTCTCTCAAGAACTACACTACAAGAACACATGCTCAGACTTCTGAGCAAACATTCATAAAATATTACCATCTCCCCACCCTCTCCTGCTCTTCACTGGAAGAAGTAACGGAAAGCAGAGAGGCAGATGGCAAATTTGAGAATTGCTGTTGGATTCTTCTGGAGCCTTGGAAGCATGTGGAATGTGATTCGACTGTGCAAATCATGTCACATATGCTGTTCTTTCATCTAATCATTCCTGGCTCGCTCTTGTGTGGGGCTCTGCCAAGACAATGTTTACCAGCTCTTGATAACACATTTCTCACAGACCACACACATTTACTCACAGCATCCAATGCAGACGTTCTAGGTTTCTTTTTGTATTCTTTTCTTTCTAGAATGTGTACGTTACCAGAAAGCAAATTTGGGTCAAATAAATAGCATTTTCACAGTAAGGAGGATGTAATACCAAGGGGGAAAGCCCTCCAATAGAAGAGATTTCTGCTTCGACCTTGCCACACTACTTACTGCTTGTGCTACTCTGAGGTTCAAGGGCCTCATGACTACGATTCATGTCAGTAACATTTACTGGGAGCCTTCTAGGGGCCAGGACCCAAGCCATGAACTGGGCCCAAAAAAGACATGTCACGTCTAAGGGCTTACACGGAACTGAGGTGAAAAAATAAATTAACGTATGATAAACAAAGGTAGACAAGTAGCATAGAAGTAGCAAGGTATCTAATTAGGGCTTTGCAGAGGGGATGACAAAGTTAGAACTTGGAGAATTATAGGAGTTTGGCGGGAATTCTGTGTCTCTGTATAGCTTTGGTCATCTCTAACCTGATGATGCCCCAATATGTGGCTCTGCCTCCGGCTTCCTTCTGACACCCAGACACCTGCTCCTTGATGGCTGCAGCTGGGTGTTTTATCGGCAGCTCACATTTAGCATGCACGTCTGAAACAAATCTCTGATTACCCCCCTAAAAGCTGCTCTTCTCGCATTGCTCCCTATCATACTTCTCAGCACCCCCATCCAGTACCCCACACAAGGTGGAGACTCACTCTGATGATCCCCTTCCCCTCTCCCCTATGTCCACAATGAATTACTGCTTTTAGTACACCTCCCAGGCCGTATTCCACATAATCTTTAAAAAATGCCAATCTGATCACATCATTCCCTTGTATAAATAAGCCTTTCATTGGCTTCTTCTAGCTCGTAGGCTAAGAATCAAAATCCACAAGATGGTTCTGCATAACTGATACTGCCTGGACCTCCACGCTTATTTGGAGTCAATATGCTCCCTCTTAAGCTCCTGCCACACCGGCCTTTCAGTTCTAAAATATGCCACGCCCCCTCCGACTTTGTGACCTTTGCACACGTTCCTCCCAATGCCCAGCAAGCTCTCCCTTTCCTCTGCCTGGCTATCCAATACCTATTTATCCTTCATGAGTCAGTGTTCACAGCCGGTCCTTTAGGGAAGTTATTCCTGACTGCCCTCTCCCCACCCAGCCTCGCTCAAGGTCCTTTGCTTTACAGTCTCACAGCACCTGGTATTTTTCCTGTTGTCACTTACAATACTGTGTTAGTATTTGCTAACTTACTTCCTCCCAGAATGTAAGCCCAGTGAAGGAAGACCCTATGAATTCCCCACTGCATGCTGATACCCAGCACACTGCCTGGCCCAAGGCAGAGGCTCCATATTCCGTATTGAATGAAGGATGGATTCCATGTAGGGGTGGAGAATGGGCAAGGCAAAAGGATGTGGAGTACGATGGCACTCGTGGGGAGTCACGAGAGACTGGTGCTGGGACACACAATGTGTTCGTGGTGGGACCTGGGGAGAATGGAGATGAGGCCAGCGAGGCAGACAGAAACCAGATCACACCTTCCCCCCTTCTTTTTCTTTTTAAGATTTTATTTCTCCTTTCATCTCACAGCCAAAACCTACCCCCCTGCCCCACTTTAACCTCTGATACAAGATCTACCTCTCTGTGGTGGAGGAATTCGGAGAAGAGCATGGCACATGGGCTCCCTTTCCCCCGTGCTGGCCTAACCTGCCCTTGAAAATTTGTTCTTTTATTGAGAACTTCCTGGTTCTATGATTCTGCCTGTGCCCCATATTCAACCCATCAATGATCCTACAGCTCTGCCTCTTTCTGACCCCTTCTCACCACTGTCGTCCAAAACACCATCATCACCAGCCTGCTTCCTGGGCTCCCAACTTCTGCTCTAGACCCCTGACGGTCTGTCAGGGGACAAAAGCAGTCAGTGTGAAACAATAAATTAGAACCTTTCAATTTTCAACTTAAAACCCTCAGATGGTTTCCCATCATACTTAAAAATCCAATGACCTGTGCAGTCTATGAGGCCTCATAGGACCTGGTCCGTACATTCCTGCCCCGTCCCCCACCTAACCTCACATTTGACCTTGCCTGGAACACCAGGCTCCACTCACACTGGGCTTCTTGCTGTTTCTTTAACACACTGAACTCTTTCCTGCCTCCTTCCTATCTCTTGGCTGTTCCCTCAACCTGGAATTTGCTCCTTGCTGGTCTCTGCTTCTCCTCACAACTTTTCTGATCTCCCATTAAAATAGCCCAGCCCATCACTCTGTGTGTGTCAGTCTACTTTATCTTTTTTCATAACATTTAATACCTCAAATTATATTTTATTTGATTATGGCATATCTCTCCCTTTAGAACAAAGCTCTCTTTTTTTTTTTTTATTGAGACAGAGTCTTACTTTGTCATCCACGGTAGAGTGCTGTGGCATTGTAGCTCACAGCAACTTCAAATTCTTTGGCTCAAGCAATTCTCTAGCCTCAGCCTTCCTATTAGCTGGGACTACAGGTGCCTGCCACAATACCTGGAGATTTTTGTTTATTTGTTTAGCAGCCCTGGGCCAGGTTTGAACCTACCAGCTCCAGAGCGTGTGGCCAGTGCCCTAACCACTGAGCTATGGGTGCCCAGAACGAAGGTCCTTATAGTCAGGGACTTTGTATTCCCGGCTCCTGGAACAGTTACCTGGCACTGAGTAGGTGCCTGGTAAATATCTGTTGAATGGATGACAGATGTCAGACAGTCCCCCTTCCCCAGCTGCTCCACCTATGCCAATCTCTAAATAATGAATCACTCCCATCAGTAAAGTTCCTCCGACCCTGCAATGATAGTCACTGAGCACCAGACGACTACTAAGAAAAAGACAGAGAAGGGATTCATACATCACAGTCACAGAACAATAGATAAAATGGTTCATATATGACCCTCCTGCCCACCCCTGAAACAAGGTATGACTATTCTCTGCACAAGTGATTTACATGAAAGCTAGTGTCTCAGGAAAGCCAGTTCTGCATGGTATCATTGCATGGGTCTCTTCTAGTGTCTTCTTGGCAAGATTGGTTTTTCATCTTGTTCTAAAGTATCTTGGCAGTCTTGCGAAAAAAATGCTTCCTTGAGATGAAGTTGTAGAGAGAGAAGTCTGTGTAAAACGGAATGAGAAAGAGCTGGTCCTCCCCTCTGTGGCTGACACAGAGCAGGGCACAAGTGAGGTTGTGACCATCCAGGGAAACAGAGGAAGGACACAGACAGCAGCATTTGTATTTAAGGGTCCATGAATCAGAATAATAAGACTAAGTCATAATCAGTTGGGAATTCTCTTCCAAAGACAGGCTTGGTGCCCATCATTCAGTGGTTAGGGTGCTGGCCACATATACCGGGGCTGGCAGGTTTGAACCTGGCCCAGGCCTGCTAAACAACAACTGCAACAAAAAAATAGCTGGGCATTGTGGCAGATGCCTGTAGTCCCAGCTACTAGGAGGCTGAGGCAAGAGAATCACTTAAGCCCAAGAGTTTGAGGCTGCTTTGAGTTGTGATGCATGGCACTCTACCAAGGGCAACATAGTGAGATTCTGTCTCAAAAATAAATAAATAAATGCTACATACATATATAAATAAATAACAAAGACACACATACATAAACCTCTATCAGAGCTGTTCATTACACCTGTCTGATTCTGACCTGGAAAAACATGGGCATACAAATATTTACCTGAAAGACAAGATTTACTATAATTTCTCACATTATTTATTCTTAATAAAATGGCATATTGTCTTTACCAAAGCCCATTTTTATATGTAAGTGCAAATGAAAACTTGACTTTTCTGTTGGCATTTCTTTTTTTGGACCTTTGAAAATAACTTTCTGGCTCAGTGCCCAGTAGTACAGTGGTTAAGGCATCAGCCACATAAACTGAGGTTGGTGGGTTCGAACCCAGCCTGGGCCAGCTAAAAGAACGGTGATAACTGCAACAAAAAAAACAGCTGGGTGTTCTGGCGGGCGCCTTTAGTCCCAGCTACTTGGGAGGCTGAGGCAAGAGAATCGCTTAAGCCCAAGAGTTAAAGGTTGCTGTGAGCTGTGATGCCATTACACTCTACCCAGGGCAACAGAGTGAGACTCTATCTCAAAAGACAAAAAAGGAAAGAACTTTCTTAATTCTAAGGACCAATCTCAAGTACTCGTCAAAAGCCTAAAAAACCAGGACTTGATGTTCTTTGAACTTTTGTTCAAGTCCCTACCCTTCAAATAAAGAAAACCAACCAACCAAACAAGTCACAGTGCCAAGTGATAAGAGGTTACTTTCCTTCATTGAATATTATTATCTAGGGAATGGTTCAGGTAGTCCCAGGAATTTTGCTTGCCCTGCCTAATAGTTGGGAAGCATTTCTCAAAGCCCAAACACAGGGATTTTTCTGTCATCCTGTATGTCAGGTGGTAGTGGCCATTTCCAAGGAATGACACGCCCCAGGGAGGATTCCAGTGGTCCTCAGATTTGGGGAAGTCAGACATTTAGTCTGAGCCTTTGACACTCACAGACACAGGCAGAATTATCGTGGTTGTCAGGGCCAGGTGCAGTGGCTCACGCCTGTAATCCTAGCACTTTGGGAGGCCAGGTGGGTGGATCACTTGAGCGCAGAGTTTGAGAACAGCCTGAGCATGAAAAAGGCTCCGTCTCTATAACAAGCAGAAAAATTTGGCTGGGCACGGCTTGCACACGCCTGTAGTCTTAGCTACTTGGGAGGCTGAAATAGGAGGATTGTTTTAGCTTAGGAGTTTGAGGTTGCTGTGAGCTATGATGACACCATGGCACACTATCCAGAGCAACAGAGTGAGATTCTGTCTCAAAAAAAAAAAGTGGCTGTCAGATACAGCTAGGTTCCAACTACGGCTCCACTGTTTACTACCTGTGTAACTTCCAAGGTGCTGTTTCACCTTTATGAGCCTCTCCATTTTCTCGCCCAGGAGATGAAGATAATACTCAACCCAGAAGTTATCATGGTATTTAGAAGAGAAAATAAATATAACACAAGGAGTACTATCCCTGATGTGGAGTACAAATGATTCCCACCACTACTCCGTTACTAAGGTCCTAGTTGATTTTAGGGATACAGTTACAGCAGACTGCCTGGGTTCAAATCCAGGCTCTGCTACTTAATCGCTTGGTCACTTTTCTCACCATAAATGGGCATAATTAATAGTAACTTGCCTTTTAGGATTGTGTGAAGATTTAATGAATTAACACACATAAAGTATCTGGCATATAATAAATCTTACAAAAGTGTTGGCCACTATTTTTTATTATATCAAAGGTTAAGTTTCAGAAGAGTGCCACAGACTGACCACAGTGGTTCTCAACCTTCTTATTGCCATGACCCTTTAATACAGTTCCTCATGTTGTGGTGATCCCCAACCATAGTATTATTTTCGTTGCTACTTTATGGGTGCAAAAATATGTGTTTTTCAAAAATATGTGTTTTCCGATGGTCTTGGGTGACCCCTGTGAAAGGGTTGTTCGACCCCCAAAGGGATCGTGACCCACAGGTTGAGAACCACTGATCTAGATCCTGCAGTGGAGCGGTGCTATCACTGTTGGTGTCCCCTCACCACACAAATCCCCCAAATATCCACTCTGTCACTCAGCCAGGGGCTCAATAATGTGTGTGTCTGAGCCACACAGCTTCATGTTTCCTTAGCGCTCAAATTACAACATGGAGATACACAGGAAAGTCATTGCAGGTTCTAGTCTGGGGCAAGGTGACATCATAAATAACAACAGATTTGAAAACAAAGGACTTCAGGTTGTATCCCCGACTTTGCCAGCTATGCATCTTTGAGACAGCGACCCAAGTTTTCTGTAGCTTAGTTTCCTCATTGTAGTATGAGATGACATCTACCTCATGGGTTTGTTACAACCTTTAAATGACAGGTGAAAACTTACAAGCCCATTACAAAGCAGTAGTTGTTTGTTAAAACAATTGAAATACTCACTTTAAGAAATGATCAGCAAAGCCCTTTGACCGTTACTACTCTATTCAGAGAACATTTTAATCTTTGTGCCACTAGCACCCTGTTGCATCAGCTCTCAGCCCTTTGCCTGCATGGCAAATGGAGAGCTACCTGTATGGTACTGGAAAGAGAAGGAGAAAGGAAGAAACGCAAAGTCTAATAGTTAACCGAGGTATAAAACGTGCTGGCAATATCTGGTCCTCTTACATTGGCAAAAATTCATCTATACAAATATTTAAAAGTATACCTGGCTGAGAGAATGAAGGAACGTTCCACACTTTCAATCTTTAATTCATTCTGATATGCTTCTTGCGTGGGTTTTCTGACCTGGAAGAAAGTTTAACAATTTCCACAAACTACCCAAAACCCCCAACTCTGAACTACAGCTGAAACTGCCCATTGCCCCTAACGGGTGACATCCACAACCCACCTTCAACCTTCCTTTCCAGCTTTACCTACGACTATTCTCCATCACCTGCTCAATGCTCCAGGTGAATTTAAATACACACAGTCCCAACGTTCCCACCTCCACACCTTTGCTTACGGTATTCCCTCTACCCAGAATGCCTTTCCGTCAAATGATGGAATGGCCAAATGAGACTTAACAGTTTCAGGCCCATTGTCTCTTCCTCTTAAAGACTTCCTGGATTCTCCCTCTTTCCTCACTGCCTATCAAAAGCTGCAGGCCAATCCCTCCACCATGACCATCAAAATCTGCATGCTCTTTATTTTCTGAACTCCCCAAAACTTTGCTGTGCCATTATGGTGATATTTATTACTGTCTACTCTATAGGTATTTATGGTAGTGTATTATGGTGATAATTATTACTGTCTACTTGATAGGTATTTATGGGTAGTGTATTATCTTCCCAACGACATGGTAAGTCCTGTGGTGTTGGAGGATGGATGAAGAGAAGTGGTTGGAGCGGGGCAGAAAGAAAAAGAACCAATTTATCTTCCTATTTGCCATCAAACCTATTACCAACTTTGTTCATAACAGTTCTCAATATATACCTTATGAATAAATAAATGCATGGGTGAACAAATGGCAACACGTATGAATAATTAAATGCGTGGCAGGCACCTGTGGTCCCAACTACTTTGGAGGTTGAGGCAAGAGAATCGCTGGAGCCCAAGAGTTTGAGGTTGCCGTGAGCTATGACACTAGGGCACTCTACCAAGAGTGACTAAGTGAGACTCTGTCTCCAAATAAATAAATAAAGTCTAACAGATACACAGACCTTCATTCCAGCCAATGAGAGCATGTTGTTCAGTTTATACATCCCAGACTGCACCGGTGTTGTATATAACAAGGCATCATTAAACTGAAAGTAGAAACATTCACAGTGAGTAAAGAAGCAAATTTCAGCTATCAAGATATTTGATAAGATGTAAAAATAAAGAAAAAATACTACTACTTTGCTAACAGCTCTCTGAATAAGATACTTATATTCAGCTATATTACACAACCATCACCTAGAATGTTGTACTAGGATACTATCAAAAAGGCAATTTCTGGAAAAGTCCTGTAACAGATTTAATGTTTCCTGAATTCTAAATCCTACTGAGGTATTACAGTCGGCCTAAATAAACGATTAAAACAATTACCCCATGCACATTTCATTGACCTGCTTTCTTCATAGGTGAGCGGTGTTATTTCTTATGTGCTACACAAATAGGTGAAGGTTAATTAGCAGTATAACTATCAACAGTAATGCTGCCCGTCTCCTTCAGACCAGTAGCTTTATAAAAAGTGGTTAAATGTATTAGGTAAATAACAGGTCTTTATCTGCAAAAGATGTGACCACTTAGGTTTTTTGTTTTGGGAAACTAAGATTTTAAAAGATATGTTTGAGGGGTAGTATAATCCATGTATGATGGTTCAGAGCAGACTTTGGAGTTGACAGCCTGGAATTCTAATTCCAGCTTCAGCAATGCTCTGATTCTCTGAGCTTCAGTTTTCTTTTCTTGGAATAAAATGGGCATGAATTTTGCTTGCCATGACTGTCATGACATTGCATAGAAAAAGTGCTAAGTAGGGCGGTGCCTATGGCTCAGTGAGTAGGGTCAGCACCCTACTCATATACATATACCACCACATATACTGAGGGTGGTGAGTTCAAACCCAGCCCTGGCTGAACTGCAACCAAAAAATAGCTGGGCGTTGTGGAGGGTGACTATAGTCCCAGCTACTCGGGAGGCTGAGGCAAGAGAATCACTTAAGCCCAGGAGTTGGAGGTTGCTGTGAGCTGTGACGCCACAGCACTCTACCAAGGGTGATTTAGTGAGACTCTGTCTCTACAAAAAAAAAAAAAATGCTAAGTAAATAGTGGCTGTTATTAACTCTGTGTTTTCTATGCAGAAACAAACAATTATTCCAAGTTAGAAATGAAATAAACTACATGCTAAAAGGAAATAATTTTCTGATTATGCATCATAACAGATTTTATTTCCCATACTTGAAATGCAAATATGCAATATAGTCAAAGATGCCACTAAAACTGATTTTTGAATGTGCTAAGTGTATCACTATGGATAAATGTCTCCTTTCATTAAGCAATTGTTCCTGCCTTGTGCCTTGGACACATAGAACTACACACGGCCTCTTACCAGGAAGAACATTCGGGGTTGCATCACTTTCCGAGATAGCTTCATCAGAGTTCCTTCTTTGAGAAAAACCTGATTCGTCCAAACAAACATCTCTTTAGTCTTACCATCATAACGCAATGGAAATATAATCTTCTCATCAAATTTCCATCCTCAGAATCCTTTTTTTTTTAGGGCCACAGAGACATAATTTCCTTTTGTCTTTTTATAGTCATATTTAATTTTAAACCTTGTAAGTCATGTAGGGGTTGGACGAGCAAGCAGAGTTACATGAATCCAATACTGGCCCTAGGGATACTGTGTGGAGGGACGTGAAACTGATGGGAGGGTATACTTGATCCTGAGGCATATCCAATATCCTGATAAATGCATTCTGCAATTTTCCTGAACTCATTCCCTAGGCCGCTTTTGTGCTCTGTGAGGAGTATCAAAATACCAATTTTCTCCCTCCCTTCCTAATTGTCTCTTACATTAAAGATTTTAAATGAAATTGTCTTCAAAGCTGTATGACCCCAGCTGGCGTTACATAATAAAATGATCCCATTAAATCAGATACTCTGTGGGTCCCTTGCCAGTCTCCAAATTGAATTGGACTTGTATTATGAATAGACATTTCTTCTAATTACATTGTCACAGTGACTTACATCAAGAAAAGTTTTGAATGGACAGAGTGATTGAGTTGGGATCAATCAAAAGTGCCAATAGCAACCTATTTTCAAAACTGAAATGAAAGATAGCTACAAATGATTACCTAAACGCACTGTATTAAATTTGCAAAGAACAGTCTATAAAACACTCACCCGTCCCGGCTGTACTATCTCATGGTGTCCATTTAAGCTGTACTGAATTTGCATAAGTTTCTGGAAGTTGTCCTACAAAAAAATAATGTACAGCATGTGAAGGCCCAGGCTTTCAGGTTCAAGAGCACACCAACTGCTGATATGAAGATACTTACTCCTTGCTTCATGGTGTCATTGGCATGGTTGGCCACCTCTATGACAACAGCAAGGGCATCTAGAATGTGTAGGAACAGAAGGCACCTTTGGTCATTACCAGTAAAACAGTCTACAACATTAAGCAATTCCTGATGACCAGATAGCCACCTCACAGCAACCAACCTCCGGAGGAGCTCAGCTAACTTTGAGTAGACATAAATATTCTGAAGTTCAATGAAGGCCAAAATCAAGGACAAACGAGCCAAAGAAAGACTCTAGACATTGTATAGATCAGTCACTTCAAGGACTCATAATTTTAAAGTTTGAAAGGACCCTGCACACCACCTGCTTCAGTCCCTGTTTCTGAAAGATGAAGAAAGGGATGCCCAGAGAAATCAAACATGCCACGAACACAGAGTGGCTGAACACAGGAGGGCAAGAGTGCTGACCCCCAGCCATGCTGGGTCCAGCCTCACCACCAGAAACTGGCTTTCATGGAGGGCTGGCTGTGTGCCCCTTGTGTCCCTATATCTCACTTGCCTTCAGCACTACTTTACTACTTCTTCTGGTTCTATTTTAATCTCTCCAAATAGAGTTTTGTATATTGCTTTTGTTATTAGTATATTTTTCCTTTCTAGGTCTAAATAAACATAATATAGAGGCCAGGCATGGTAGCTCATGACCTTAATCCTAGCACTCTGGGAGGCTGAGGCAGGAGGCTTGCTTGAGCCCAGGAGTTCAAGACCAGCCTGAGCAAGAGGAAGACCCCACCTCAACTAAAGGTAGAAAAACTTAGCCAGGCATTGTAGTGGGCACCTTTAGTCCCAGTACTCTGGGATGCTGATACAAAGGATCACTTGAACCCAGGAGTTTGGGGTTGCTGTGAGCTAGGCTGATGCCACAGCACTCGAAACTGGGCTACAGAGACTCTGTCTCAAAAGAAAGAAAAAAAAGGCTAGGCGCAGTGGCTCATGACTGTAATACTAGCCCTCTGGGAGAACGGAGGCGGGTGGATTGCCTAACCTCACAAGTTCGAGACCAGCCTGAGCCAGAGCGAGATCTTGTCTTTGAAAATAGCTGGGCATTGTGGCAGGTGCCTGTGGTCCCAGCTACTAGGGAAGCTGAGGGAAAGAGATTGCTTGAGCCCAAGAGTTTGAGGTTGCTATGAGCTGTGACACCATGGCGTCTACTGAGGATCACAAAGTGAGACTCTGCCTGAAAAAGAAAGAAAGAAAGAAAACATAATATAAAAACTGCAACATAAGCCACTACAAAGTTATTTACCTTGAGTATCTCTGTAATCTCTAGCATCTTCCTTCAGATTCTTCAAATAATCTGGAAAAGAAAAAAAAAAAAAAGTCTTTAAGCACAATAAAGCAATGAGCCTAAAACACCAATAATCTTCCTTTTTCCATACCTGTCAGTCTTGTTGGTTGATACATATGTTAGTCTGACTTGCGCTGGTTTTCTAACAATGTGAAAGCCCTGAGACCAATTTGAAGTGAGAGTGGAGAGTCAGAGCTGGAAAGAGCCTCAGGGATAACACTGGCTATTTCAGAGAGGAGCAATCAATCGGATTACTGAACAAAGAGTCTCACCCAAGCCACACAACCTCTTTGTGACAGAGCCAACATGAAAATCTGGGTCTCCTGATGGCCAGGTTAGCTTGATTATCTCAATACACAGAAAATACCTTAATCTTGAGATTGGATATATCTGTGTATAAAACTATGAGGCAATAACAGATTCAATGCCCAAAGAACACTTGGATTTGTCAATCTAAGAATCTAATAATGCCCAGGACACCGAGGGACTCAATATATGCATCTCAACAGGTGGTTTTAAATGGGAATGAATATGTGTACATTTGGCTGTGTCTGGAGACAGTTATCACAACTGGATAAAAGCAGTGCTAAAAAACCTTACAATAAGCTCCCCAACAAAGATCAGAATTATCTGATCTAAAATGTCAACAGGACTGAGACTGAGAGAGTCTGGTCAGAGGAAGATGCTCTGAAAGCATTGTCCTATGCAGTAGTTCTTGTAATACAGAAAAAAATCCAGGGCCACAGGTTTTAGTTAACAAATCTTTAACACCCAGAATGGTCATAGGATTTCCAGGTAAAACTTCCTTCTTTGCTGAAAAATGTTGGGTGGCTTCCCATTACCTATCAAATTAAAAAAAAAAAAAGTAATTTTTTACAGAGTCTCATTCTTTTGGCCTTGGTGGAATGCTATGGCATCAAGACTCATAACAACCTCAAAGTCTTGGGCTCAAAAGATGTTCCTGCCTCAGCCTCCTGAGTAGCTGGGAGCACAGGTGTGTGCACCACAATGCCCGGCTGGTTTTTATACTTTTAGTAGAGACAGAGATTTCGCTCTTGATCAGGCTGGTCTCAAACTCCTGGGCTTAAGTCAACCACCCGCCTCGGCTTCCCAGAGTGCTAGGATTACAGGCATGAGTCACCCTAGGCACTCACCATTACCTATCAAATTAATGCAAATTCCTTTCCCTGGAATTTAGTCTCCCACTACATGGCCTCCACTGACTTTCTCGCTTTCTCCCCGGCTGCTGCCTAACACAGGCCCTTTGTTCCTACCTGAATTGGATTCTGCTCAATTCCTTGAAACTTCCCATGTATTCCCTGACTGTGTACCTTTCTGTTTCTAATGCTCCCTTCTGAATCCTTTCCTCTAGCTCTGCATAGACAAATCCTATTCCCACTCTTCTAGGTTTATCTCAAATTCCTCTTCTACAAAATGTTCCTTTTGAAAGAATCATTTTGGCTGGGTGCAGTGGCTCCTGTCTGTAATTGTAGCACTCTGGGAAGCCACGGTGGGTGGATCAATTGAGCTCAGGAGTTAGAGACCAGCCTAAGCAAGAATGAGACCCCGTCTTTATTAAAAAATAAATAAATAAATAAAAATAGAAAACCAGCCTGTCGCTGTGGCAGGTTCCTGCAGTTCCAGCTAGTTGGAAGGCAGAGAATCGCTTAAGCCCAAGAGTTTTGAGTTTGTTGTGAACTAACACACCATGGCACTCTACCCAGGGCAAGAGTGAGATTCTACCTCAAAAAAACAAAACAAAACAAACAAACAAAAGAATCCTTTTTTTCCCCTTTGACATGGCAGTTTCACCTGATGCCTTCTGCCACTTTCTTTTTCATTAGACTCAAAGTTCCTTGTGGGTTGGCTCGGCGCCTGTGGCTCAAGCGGCTAAGGCACCAGCCACATACCCCCAAGCTGGTGGGTTGGAATACAGCCTGAGCCTGCCAAACAACAATGATGATTGCAACAAAACGGGCATTGTGGTGGGTGCCTATAGTCCCAGCTACTTGGGAGGCTGAGGCAAGAGAATCGCTTGAGCCCCCAAGTAGCTGAGGGAAGAGAATTGCTTGAGCCCAGGAACTGGAGGTTGCTGTGAGCTGTGATGCCATAGTACTCTACCCAGGGTGACATCTTGAGGCTCTGCCTCAGAAAACAAAAAAGTTCCTTGTGGGTAGGACATTTGCTTCACCTTTCCCTCTCACACAGTACTTAGCAAGGGGCTTTCCACACAAGGGTCAATGAAGTCTGAATGAATAAAAAGAATCCATTATTTAGGTAGACAGGATTGTGTTTTAGCTAAGGTAAAGGCAATAAAGGCGGAAATGTCAGTGGGCATGGAGAACATGGAAGGAGGAAAGGTGGGTTCAGAGACTGAATGCATTTTTATCAGACCCAGTCTCTGGTTGAGAATATTACGAAACAGATCTAACTTCATCTCATGAATGTATGAAAGTCATGCTCAAAGGTACAAAGGGAAACTTGGACGTTAGTGCCAGCTTTTCAAACGTAATAGATGACACAGACAGACACACCTAACTGCTGAAACTTCACAGTCTCTGAGACAGTGATCCATCAGGCTGTGTGAGTCTGGGCACGCATATCACGTTATAAATATCCGGCACTGGCAAGAAGCCACGGTGAGATGTGTGTGACCACATTAAGCCTTCCTGTGCTATGGCCTGGGCTCGATCTTACAAGAGATCATCACTAGCAATTTAGACCTTAAATAATCTAAACTCATAGGTTGAAGAATTCACTTTTGATAAAAGATACACGAAAACCACAAAAGTTAACAAAATACATTGATTGTACATGACAGCCTTTCTCAATGATGGAAAATCTTATTCTCATGCTAACTAAACTCATTTAATATATAAGCCATGTTTGGTGAGTGCAAATATCCATCATTTCTATGGTTGACAGGGACAGAGTTGAGGAAACTAACTTACCCTAATTGGATGTTCAATGCCTAAGTTGCCTCATTAAGCAAAAGTGATTTTCCTTAAGGCTTTAGTTAGCTGAAGCGTACAGAAAAGAAAGCAGATGTACCTAAATATTAGATTCATGGCGAGTTCCTATTTTGCCTTAAGTTCCTGTTCTTTTTTTTTTTTTGAGACAGAGCCTCAAGCTGTCACCCTGGGTAGGATGCTGTGGCCAGCAACTTCCAACTCTTGGGCTTAAGCGATCCTCTTGCCTCAGCCTCCCAAGCAGCTGGGATTACAGTTGCCCACTACAACGCCTGGCTATTTTTTGGTTGCAATTGTCATTGTTGTCTGGCAGGCCTGGGCTGGATTCAAACCTGCTAGGTCTGGTGTATGTGGCTGGCGCCTT